TTTATAACCGACTTTCCGCTCTTTCCCGCTTTTTATCAATGGAACGCAGGCGAATATTGCGATATTCCCGAGTGGAGGCGCTTCTTTTGAAGGCTGACCTTGGGGAGCAGCTCAGAAAAGATATAACCAGAAGACCAGATGAGATACTCCCGAGACGAAAGTGTGCAAATAATGGGGAGCCAAACAACACATGTGTGTATCTGCAAATCATATTTTATCTTACTACGGAAATGACGGCGACGTGCTCACTGTGGAATTGTTCGCCTCCTCCAATTTCCCCATGGCCTCAAGTCAAATAACAATTCGCTACAATTCCAGTCCGCAATTTATGCAGACTTATCACATATACCATGCATATATGTGCATACGTTTTGAGCAAATTTCATTTTATTTTATTTGACTTTCTGCTTCTTTCAATATTTACTAAGCCTGTGGCGCGTGCTTTGGTTTGTGAATGAAGCGAATTATGTGTTGTATATAGTTGAGCGTCTGATTTAATTGATACACTCTTCAGGCTATTGAATACCCTACTTTATTGGATCTTAAAAAAATTGTATTGGATACCCTGACTCAAAGAGAGATTAGAATATTTCCTTAGTTAGTGATTGTTAATAAATATATTTTTTTAAAGAGCACTTAAACTTCTAATTCGGCTACCGAAAAATCTAAATTCCTACTGCACCTTATCACACAGCTGTGTTTATATGTCAAGTATTTTGCGTATCGAGACAGTTATGTGAAAAACAGTTGAAATTTCCGTTGAACATTCTTAGAAATAACCAAATGAATCCATAAATATCAGTCGAGGCGGCAGGCTCAACCGCATTCCGGCAAAGTCCGATTTTATCGTTCTCGGGTCATCTCTGAATGGGATTTCCTGGCCACTCCCTGCCATTGACCAGAATCACTTATTTATTGAATGACCGCTGGTTGCTCTATCTCTAAGACTATTCCTGGAAAGCATTCGGGTGACACAGTGAGAGACGAACTCGCGGCCTCTTCAAAAACCATTCGAGCCCCCGCCTGGCTTTCAAGCACCTAAAGGTTTTAAAGGTTTTATTATGCTTCACCATCGCGGACAAAGGTTGAATGTTCGTTCGGTTGAATCTGAAACCTAGAAATTACGCAGGACAAAAGTGTTAAAATTGCGTAGAGAAATTGTTTGGAAAATATGAATTACAAGCCTCTCGAAGCGAGTCCAAAACTCCCCGAAGAGTTACCTGCCGCGCTCTGCACGGGTTTTTCCCATTATGTAAGGCATTGTAACAGGTTTCTCGACTCTGTTTCTTAAGACTATCCATATTTTTTAAGTGCCTGCCGTAAAAAATCATCGTTCTGGTTCGCGAGATCCTTGAAGTAGGTGTTAAACAAACAGCAGCAGATAGGAAGCTGTGCGGAAATCGGTTTAGCAGGCAAAAAGATATATCCGAAAAGGCGAAAGAATAGCATCCAAGGGGGTACAAGTGAAAGGAGAACTTGGTCCAAAGAATCCTTTATTAAAAGTAACTTCTGTTTAATTTAGGAGGCGACTTGAAAGTACTTCTTGAAGGTATCTTGCGGTTTTCTTAGCGCTCGACCCTAGGATTCTTGCGTTTCAAACACTTCTGCTCATATTTCTAAAGGGCACTGCTGTTTTCTTAAGAGTTGCTTCGTTTTAAGTACTTTTTGTCCATTCTTACTAGCATTATATACTGACCTTAAAATAATTTTCCTTTAGCACTTCAAAGTGATCATGTTTCCTATATTTTCTTTTATAATAATTACTCAGTTTAAGGGGGTTACAAAAACATTCAGCCTTGAGCTTTTAAGTTTTAATATTATCTTATACTAGAGGTCCTGTGTCCGCTTCGCTGGTCAACACAATTTAACAACATAAAAGTCAATATTGCAACATTTTTCAAATATATGGAAATATAGAAAGATGGTGATTTAACACTTTTCCACTTGCGCAGCACAATCCAGCCGTTTCTCTTTTAAACTTTAACGCACTGCAATATCGGTATATAGTCCAATATCTAAATTTTCATTATCACCGTAGTTCGCAGTGGGGTCATATTGGAATGCCATGCGATTGAATGATGCCAATGATCTCGATGTGCTCATTTGTCTTTCTTCGCTTAAGTTTTGTGAATATATTGGCTGCTGGCTTGGATGTCTGGGGCCAATGTTTGCATGTCGTCCTCTAAGCATTTTGGACTATGGACAGAGTGGTGAATTTATCCTCAAATGCACGATCCACATAATTTTCACAGTTCAACTTAAATTGAATAAAAATTCTTTTTTTTTCACAATTTCACAGTGAACACAAAAATTGAGTTAAAATGCTATGGGAGCGTGTTTGTCAGTGTGATGAGGTAGCAACTCACTTTATATGCGACAATATTGCAATTTTCTTACGGATCCCTAGTTTTTTTCAAAATAAATTATAGCCTATTTAACTCCACGATAATATAGCTTTCTATCGGCGAAAGAATTTTTTAAATCGGACCAGTAGTTCCGGAGCCTATTCCCTGCAAACAAACAAACAAACAAACAAACAAACAAACAAACAAACAAACAAACAAACAAACAAACAAATTTTACCTCTTTATAATATTAGTATAGATTATATAATATTAGTATAGATTAGTATAGATTATCTTAGTTACTTAACAAAGAGATTGCTTTATATATAAATGGTTTATCCTTAATCTGCCTGTTAGGTGTATAGAAACAAATGAATCCATTGTTCCAACTGCTAGATTTATTTGTCCCGCCTAAAAAACATATGATATTACATACCTTTAACAAGACACGTTTTTACTATTTTCTTGATTGTGCGAATGGCCATTCATTCGGCTCAAACAAAGACCATTTAAAAACCCATTTCATACAATTAATAACAATAAAATTACACTAAAATTGCAACAACACCGCACACCCCCAACAAGGCGAGGCACAAAGGACATAAAGGCCATTGTCGCAGGATCTGATCCACTTGCCACTCGGGCCGCTATTCAAAGTAACTCGTAACTCGGTTCGCTTCATTCAGAACCACTACTGCACGATATAGTCGACTATATGACAATGGGCGTGGCTCTGCGCACTCGACTTCGCAGTCCACAGATCCAGAGACACATTGCACGTGCGTGAGTGCAACAATTGTCCTGCGACCTGCAATTGTGTCATGTCCTGATCTCCTGTTTGTCCTGCAATGTCCAGCTAGAAATGTGTAGTTTCCATTTAAAATCAGCGATGTGAAAATTCCCAAGACGTGATTTTTATGTAGTTTTTTCCTCAAAGAGTGGCCCATTGTTTGCGCAGTTCATTAGTTGCCAGGACTCGAGTTCATTTCGGTGGACACGTACATGTCGGGAAAATGCCGCCAAAATGGGAAGACGATTTTTCCAGCCAAGCTTTGCCGCCTCAGCTGCGGTCGAGTGTCTTTTGGTTTTTTGTGTTGTTTTTTTTTTTATGCAGAAGTTCGGTGTTCCAAACATTAAACTAATTTATCACCAATATATGCCAAGATCCTGGGCGCAGGATGGGCTGGGAAAGGACACCCCTTTCGGTGGGAATCGGTCGTGTGTGCGTGTTGGGCTTTTGTGTCTACTTACCATAATGAAAACATTTTCAAATATTTTATGCAAAGTCCTGACATGACCTTTGCCGAACCTCACCGGCCGCGTCTCCTGCTGCGCTTGATGTCCTGTCCCGAATGGGAACTGCAACCATATATGTTAGATCCCATTCGATCCCATCCCTTACCGGTTCGTAATTTGCGATCTGAACTAGTTTTCGGGATGGCCCTGTCATTATGTAGATTTTCCAGGCTGTGAGTACACGTTCGCCCCAAAAAACGGAAGGGGAACACTTAGTGGAATGTTGTTGCTGTTAGTCGGGATGTCAGGTCAAGCCTGGGATTTGTTCTCACAGGAAATATGTTTGCCCGACCATAAACCTTGAAAGCACAAAGGAGCGCAGATAACGATCCGGCCCAAAAGTATCCACCGGCAAATGGGAAAAAGGTAACACAAAGCCGCAATTTGGCTGGTGAAAATCGAGGTCGATCCATTTGCAGGACCATATACCGCCATAAAGAGATATATATATATACATATACGCCTCCGCGGCGATGAGTGACTGCAGGGTTTGACTGTCTAAGCCGCAGGTACAGAGTGATTAACCGCCGAGCTATTGCCACCGCAATTAGGATCGCCTCGGATCGGGATGCCCGAGATCCCAATAAAAGCCAAATTGAATCGGGATTGGGAACTAGTGCAGGACCTGTAAGGATGCAGCTGATAATGGCAAAGAATTGCGTCGTCACAGGTTCACAGAGTTGGCCAGCCAAAAAAAAATAATAACATTGAACTAGGGGGGAAAAGGTAGAACAATTTTTTAACATCAAACGAATAAAGGTCGCTCTCGCACACTCTCGTATTTACTTTGGAAAACGGAGCTCCTGATTTGTTGCAAGATTTCTCCGTAAATGGCATAAAAAACCGCTCGAGAAACAAGGCGACAAGCCGTGGGATCGCTGCGGCTGTGGATCGTTGTTAAGATTGTTAATGGCACCCGACCTGTTCACGTCCACGATCACAATGTTGGACAATTAACACGGCCAACAACAAGAACGGCCAGGTTTTTGGAGGCACATCCTTGGGAATGTCGGGCAAAACAGAGGCTAAAAAGAAATCAAGGCCCACTATTTTTTCTCCCTTATCGCATTCCCTTGTCTCTTATGAATTGTTCATATTTTGTTGATCATTCAAGAAGGGCAGTGCCGCCATCAGCTGATCCCGGGGATTAATTATGTTGACAGGTTGCTGCAATTCGAGTGCATTCAGCTTAAGAGGGTCTACTGTAAGTGTGATCGGAAAGTAGAATTAACTTTTTGGTTATATCTTGGGTTTTATTCAAGCAACTTCATTGAGATTTTCTAGGAATCAAGGCAAATCCCTTGGGGTTCCCCCAATTTTTACTGAGAGTCAATCCTATGTCATTATAAGATATTTTATTTAGTTGTAAGAAAGTCTTGATTTGAATCCAATTTCTTTGGCTTCGTATATTTTATCCATGTATTCCTTGATAGTGGGTCGCCTCATCCTCTCATCGGGATCTAGATCGACATAGCACTTGGTCCTCTTATAAGCCTCCACATTTGTGAAACAGTGATGAACGTAATCCTTACCCAAGGAGGCCAATATTACGGAGCGCAGATCTGGCTTTGCAAATTCTGGGATGACTATTTTGGGCAAGGGAACCAAAGGAGCATGAGCTAGAAGGGAAGGCAAGGAAACTGAAACTGGAGGTTCTGGAGAATCGGGAGGTTGCTTTGGAACATCATTAACTATTTCAGGACTTTTTATATCACAAGGCGACTCAGGGCTCTTTGGAGTTTTTGGAGTAGTGGGCCTTGTACATTTTGGGGACTTGACTGCCTTTTTTGGTCGGGCATTCAGGAGCATTTGAGCCGCATGAGGAAGACCCTTTTCCTGTACCCTTTCTTCATCCAGACTCAGCGAAGATCTGGACAACTTGAAGTTCCACCGGGAGTCTTTATCCTTGACATTATAAACATAGCTTCTTTCGTTTTTGCTAGGAGCCACAGAATTCTCTGACTTGGTCTCGACTAACTTTTGAAGGCGCATCGACCTGCGAAGTGGGGTTTGTTGAGTATTCTTCTGAAGATCCTTTGATCCCTTTTTGTTAAGGTGGCAAGCAGCAGGTTTGGGTTGCAGTTTAATTGGTGACTCGGTTTTAGGATTATTAAAAAGCCCAATAGGTGGATTGCTGTTCTTTTTTCTAGAGCTCGTTGAGGCTTTGCTGCAATTTAAAAGTTGACCCTTGATCAAATGCGGACTTGACTTGATGGCTTCTTCCATTGAAGCAGATCGTAAAAAAAGGACCATGGCGTAGTTTGATTTTTCGGTGCCATTTTTTACGCACACGCGTTCCAAATGACCGAAGTTGAAAAAATAATCATAGATATCGCGTAGTGTAATGTCCTGATTCAATCCTGGTATATACATCCGCCGATCTTTCTCTGCTTCAAGTGACAATCGTTTGGGTGGGGTGGTTACCACTGTAACGGGTTGGTTCGTTATAGCCATTGCTGATAGATAAATCAAATAATAATATTTTATATAGATATTTGGGTTTTCCACCCACCTGACTCTTTCATTCTGGAACTGACCATTTCTCCGGGCACTGAAAAGTCTTGAACAACTTTAGCTAACTTTGCTTTCTTTGGCAGTGGGGAAAATGTGGAATTTTCCATTTTTACCAGCTTTGATTTCCAAATCTCAGACTTTTTATTTTCATTTGTCAACTTAAATTGAAAATTTAAGTAAGAGGTCACTTAGATCTTTTTAAGAAAATAATGCCAACCCTAATAGTTAATACTAAAAAATCAATAAATCGTGATTTTTGTAGAATTAAAGTATTTTTGTCTCTCCCATTGAAACATTGTGATTTCAAAGGTATACCCCTAATTTTCCTTTATTTTACCAAGAATTTTAGGGGTTTCTCCTGGGGTTTCCATAATTCCTTGAGTGTCAAACCACCTCAAACCTTTTCCATTGCATAAATATAAATTGCAATTTCAGCAAGCATAAGCCTGGGAAAGTTTTACCCCGTTTTTCACAAGGAAATGATTTGCCAAACTGAGCACAAATATTTTCGTTGGAAATTTAATAAATATTTTATAAACCCATTGAACGAAATTCGGAGCCCCATTCAAGGTCCCCCGAGAATGTTTGCCGCATTGAATGAATATTTGTAACGGTTGCGAGGAAAAATTCCGATTCATAAAACCGTTGCTACCAAATCGTGGCCAAATGAAAGGACCCAGTTGGCCGAAACGGTGAGGCGGCCAAAGGCAAAAACTCAGCTGGAATGCGTTGGCAGTTTGAATGTCGCCTCAGGTGACAAATTGCAAGGCTTGTCGCAGCACAGGTTGCACAGGTTTCAGAGGTTCCAAAAAGGACTCAATGACGCGGCAGGTTTCGTGGACAAAAAATGTGCCATTTCGCACCTCCATAAAAACGTGTCCCGAATGGGTTTCCCTGCCATTTGCCATTGGCCATTTGCCATCAATGAGGCTGGCGGCCTTCGGTTTTGGTTGCATAACGTTTGACTGCTGGGCGGAAAGTTGCACATGGCTTCTAATGTGTGATTTGCATTTGCAATCGGTCAAGGGTAAACAGGATGTGCTGGAGGAGCTGAATGCCGTGTGTTTGCTGTGTGTGTTGTTATTTACCCAACGCAATTTGGCGCGCAGAAATCAGGGCATCACATCCTTTTCACATCCTTTGCCGCCACCCAAGTTACGTAAGCCATAAACAAGTGAGCGAGTGGTCCCAATAGACTTGTTGCCAAGGCCGCAGAGATCGCCTCCTTCTCACGCCTCGACTGCATCCGGGATTCGGTTCGGTTCGGTGTTTTCCAGCTAAAAACGCGGCAATATCCCTCAGATACTCGGATACTCGGATACTTTATGCGGACGTGAACTCCATTCATTCGCTCATTCATACATTCACCCGCAGACAATAAGGACACAACTAGCAAATCTCTCGAGCACTTCAATGAACAATGAGGAGCCCAAGCAAATTTCTGTACGAGGACACTCGCTGTTCTCACGTTCAATCCACCGATTTCCTTCGTTTTTGGGTGTTTTTTTTCGGCTCTTTTTTAATGTTGGCTTAAACCTCAAGTGACCGAGGGTTTGATGGAGATGATGATGAGCTCACAGGGAATTTGCGAAAAAAAGGAAAGCGGATACGCAGACACTCACCCGGGTGTCCTGGCATCCTCATCATCCGCCGATCATCCCGGATATAGTTCGATATAGTTTTTTGCGAGTTCGGTGCCTCTTTCACAACTCGATTCTGTGGAATGCTGCCCCAAGAACACATAATAATCGGAGGATAATGCCGTTGATTATCTCGGGAATGTCTATTCATTGCTGGCGCTGTGTCCTTCGAGTCCTGCCGCCTCGAATTTCCCTCGCCGTGTGCGGCCTGCCAAAAAGTGAGAATTTATGAGGTTTTCAGCCCGAGTGGTGAGGGAGTTCCCTAGAAGAGGAGAGTGGAGCTGAGCTGAGCGGTTCGGTAACTGTGGGAAAACTGCATTTTCCGGCCTGACTTTGGCGTTTACCGGGAATTTCAGTTATCATCACGGATGTTGTCGCCTGTCGCTCATTGTTTGGACAAAACACAAAACACAATTTAATTTGATTACAAATCAGAGAATCAGAGAAGCCCGAGACATTTGCATTCGAGACTTTTCCCAGCCCAACCCTGTAACCCTGTAACCCGCATCCCTGCGAAATGGCCAAGACATTATGCAGTCGCTCAATGATAAGCACGAAGTCTGTGTCATTGTCGCCTGATGAAGATGAATGATGTAATAATTCCGTCATAAAAATTACGCACACTCAGCATGGCCATGGCTGCAGGGTGGCTTTACTATACTGCACAGCTTTAGTGCAGATCGGACCAAATTAAAGCTAAGAACGGAGCATGGAAATCCTCGGCCAGCTGCCAGCTCAACAAGTTCTGCATGCTGTGTGTATATACGTTTTCATTTAGAACTGGTTTGCTCCGCTCCGTCTAACCCCATCAGATCCATTTACATTTATCGCATTTCCCGAAAAACGAAAAACGTCGAGCAGCTTTTATGTTTTCCAAAAAATGTTCGGGGGATTGCCCGAACCGGAGGAGAAAATCGAAAAATCCATTAGCATGCTCAGCCGGGCAAATCCATCATAAGCCAAGCCTAAAAAAGTACTTAAATCTCCGTTTGCCTTGACCCTGCCGCTGAGTATCTTGTGGATGCGATGCGATGGTTGGGCATCCTTTTTCCTCCAGATCTGGATGGCTGGATACTTATACTTGTTTTATGTCTTCGTTTCGTTTCGTCGGCTTGTTGCCCTCGCCTCACCTTTGGTTTCGTTTTCTACAACTCTGTTTTCGACGTGGGCCATCGCTCGATGGATTTTGTTTTGATTGCGCTGTCCGCTGGTTTCGGGACCCCATTCCACATGCCCCTAAGCCCCGCGGACCCCATCCTAGACCCCATTCCCTCTTCGATTCCTCTTTCTCGTTTGTAAAGTCAAAGTGTCGAATTGTAAAGATCAGTCACCTTTCGGTGGATCGCCTAGGCCGCACATACATAAATGGATGTGTGCATATGTAAGGCATCCCGTAGATACATAAACATTTACGTTGCTGCCCCTTTCGTCGCCTTTTGCAAGGCACTGCAAGAAAATGTTTATAAGTCTGTGATATGATCTTAAGATTAATAGAGAGGGAGCTATACTGATAGTAAATATTAAAATCACTGATCAATCTGCTAATACAATATGTTATTTAGACATCATAGTACTGAACTTCCGCGGGATAGTGAAACTTAATTCTATCAAAGTGGTTTTTCTTTCAGTGCTGCTGCCCCTTTATTATGGCTGGCATGTCGCCTGCTTCCTCCGCGATTTCACTGTGTAATCACGACCAAGTTCACTCCCTACCGCCCTAAAACTCCAGCCCACCACAGAAAGTATCCCAGTTTAGTTCGGTTCGCAGCTCTATGGCTGCACGCTTATTTGTTTGTTTGTGGGCTCCAAACTGGTACTGGCATCCGTCGCAGGGCGTTCACTGTACGTGGGTACAGTCCTCTCCTGGCTAGGTGTTTTTCCTGATTTTTCTCCAAAGGGCGCACGTCCAACAGGTTTGTCTAGTGCAACGACTGCGTACGTGCAACGCTCCCCACCGCTGTAAATGCTTCTGTTGCATTCTTAGAACGCGGTTGTTTTCCTTTCGGCTCTATCTGAATGCCGATCGAGCCCCCTTTCCGTTGGGCTAGGAGTCAAGTTTACTTGCCTCACCGCAGTTCTGTTTACTGAGACTTTCAGTGGAAGAAATATAACTCAGGCGGAAACTCTGGAGGAAATCGTTTCTATAAGCCGATTTGCTGCCAGCGAAGACGGAAGGAAGTCCAAATGATGATGCGTGGAAAATATTAAACAGCGGAAAACGCTAAGAAGTCAGGGCAAAGACCTCCCTGGCAAGATGGGTTTATTTGGGGAATCATGAATTTTAATGCATGTTCATTTATTGAAAGGCTTAAAAAAGGTCACATGTCCATTAGAATCATTAGCTGCATATTAAGTTTTAGCCAAGTAAAAGCAATAGTAAAAGGAATTTCACAATCTTGTGAAACAGAATTTTCTATGTTTAATAGTAATAGCCATCGTTAAATGATTTTAGTATCGTTTAGTAAACTCAGTCACGCCCACTTGGAAAGTCGATGCCAAATTGAGATGTTGCATTTTATGGCTAATTGATTTTAATCTCGACTGCCTCCTTGGTGGTCACAAATCAGCACACAAATCCCTATACATTACACTTAAACGCAGGAAGGGCAGCAAAAAAAGAGGCCAAAAGGGAAAATACAGATATGTCACGATAAGAACGACATTTTGCGCATCATCATCTTAATTTTTGAGAGCAGGTTCCGAAGAGATCGTCTTCCCGGAGCAAATAATTATGGCAAACGCAGATTAGCTGCGGATGAATGGCCACAGTGATCTCTGGCCAGTTATCAATGGCACCCACAGTGAGGCCCAAACGAACGACTATATCTGAAGTTTCGGATCTGCCAGATGATAAACGCCTCAATGAACCGGACTGTCAACAAAGAAGGGAGAGATCTACGGAAAAAAGGATTTCATTTGGTTCTATTTATTTTCTCTGCCAGTCAGCTGACTGACCCGAGTTTTTCGGCCCACTTGAGGTCCAGCCGAACCCAAGATAATATCTGAGTAACTCCACCTCCTCTCCTCGTTGCATGGATATTTTCCCAATTTTCTATTTTGTATTTTCGTGAATTCTGTTATCTGGGGTAGAGCAAAACGGCAGAGGACAAAGGTATTTTTTGGCGCTCTTTTTCCTGGCTTGGACTCGACTAGGAGAATTTTTACTGTGAAAGGATTTTTGGGCGACCTTTCAAGAAAAGGATTTGCCGCACTGCTGTTCATTTTTCGTTAGCCGCAGGACCAAAGCCAATAACTCCTAACAGTGTGTGCGCATTTCGTAGTTCATATCTACGAACTCAC